GTGTAAGGCAGGGATTCAAGTCTGGGCTCAGAATCTAGAGTTTGGAATTGGGGATATAAAGTGAAAGAATATTAGGATCAAGGTTCAGGTAGGAGGAAATAAAATGCTTTAGCAATTTTCTCAAACCATTCCTAGAGTATATTTGAATCTAGTTGGGCACAGTGTTGGGGCAGATATTTCTGAGAGGTAAAGAATCCTTAATTAGTTGAATAAGTAAATGATCAAGAGGGCCGGGGATTTAGCTCAGTGGTTCCAGCGCCTGCTTTACAAGTGCAAGGTCCCAAGTTCGATCCCCAGCACCAAAACAAAACAAAAAAAAGTAAACAATCAAGCATTTGTAAAGATGTTTCCTATTTGAAGAACAGGTAGGACATTTGAGGTCAGAGTTGAAGGGCCTAACATCACCAAGGATTTGTTTTTCAGAGCAGAAAAAATATATTTCCATACATTTCACAGGGCATTTTTATTTCTTGCTAACCTTCTACCACTTTGATCAATATACAGTTAAAATCTGATCTTCTGTTCAGTCAACAAGTCCCAAGTTCAGTTGGTTATAGCTTCTCTGAGAGGAAATCAATACATAATTCTGAATTAGGCAGGGTTTAGTCAAGGATGTGGACCCAGTATAAGAATACAGATTAAGGGATATAAACCACCTAGCTTTGCACATATGGGAGCTGAGGAGAGGTGATCTGTGGGTATCCTTGCCCCTGCAGTGTCAGATGTTGAGCCTGAAGTCTTTATGGGTCAGCCACATTGGCAATTGAGAAGGGAACCGGGTGTGGATCAGAACAGGGACAAACAAGACATTGTGTAGCCTACAAGGACACCTGGAACACATGAAGACTAACTAGGAACTGTCTGTCTCTCTTTCAACTCCAACTGCAATTTTGCTGTGACCTGCAGAAGCTGGCGTCCTCTTTCACAAGGTGCACTTGGATCTGGCCCAGGATTGAGAGAAATTGTTGGAGAAGTTATAGCAAGAGCTATAGGAGCTGTGGGTCTGAGTTCTATGCCATATGGACAGGCTGAGCCAGTAGGCACAGTTTCTGCCGGCTTGCCACTACCTTCAGGGTGTAGGGCTACTGCTTCGTTCCTGACTTCCAAATGTTATGTAAAAATATCTCTGTGGCCAGCCTAACCTAGAACCATGCAGGGAAGGGAATTCTTGTAAACAGCTACTGTTTAGCTCAGTTGTCATGGTACAAAGCCACCACAAGCTATCCCTTGTCAATTTGGTATTCATATACACTTCTTTTAACCATATTTAACATCCAAATAAAAACAAACAATAGCAGCATTATGCTTTTGTCTAACATGATGCAACTCTTCCTGTACTACTCAAAACATGCTACCTCCTGCAAAAAGTTGAGTCTCTTTATCTACCAAAGGGGAATTTTAGTTCCTCTTCTAGATAAGTCGCATTCTTCTTTGCAATTTTTAACTTCATTTTCTTCAACAAATGTACGAATATTCACACCAAGTTAATTACCATTAACTACATATGTACATTAATTACATATGCTAGATGGGAGGGGAATGAGAGAGGGTAACTTTTTTTAGACATCAAACTTTTTTTTTTTCCAGTATCAGGGATCAAACTCAGGACCTTGTGCTTGCCAGGCAAGTGCAGCACCACTGGGCTACATCCCTGGCCCAGACATCAAACTTTTTGACCACAGCTGGGCTCACTAAAATTTTTTTCGATGCACTAAACTGGTGGCTTACTCCTGGAACTTAAGTTGGCTGTTTCATCTTTCTTTGATACTATCAAATGTGTCCTGAGAGGACTGGGGATCCCAAGCTAAGCCTAAACTGTGATTCTGCAGTGTAGCCTGGTCACTACTGATGGTGAGTGTGGTGAGCCCCTCAGGCATCTACTTACCTAGAGCAAATGAAAACCATGAGGAAGAGCTTCCACGGGACAGAGGTGGAGAGATCAAGAGGAAGGACAGTACCTTAAGTCAGTTTTCAGGTGCTATAACAGAGTACCTGAGACTGGGTAACTTATGAAGAGCAGAAAGTTATTGGCTTAAGGCTCTAGAGGCTGGGAAGTTGAACATTGAGGAGCCACATCTGGTGAGGGCCTTTGTCCTGTGTGTCATAACATGATAGGATTACATGGGGAGAGGGTATGTGAGCGACAGCAAGAGAGGACCAATTTATACAAATCCACTCTCAAGGTAACTACTTCTATGATGACAGACCATTCATTGGGGCAGAGCTCTCATGACCTAATCACCTCTTACTAGACCTCTCCTCCCAACACTGTTGCACTGGGGATTAGGTTTTCAATATGTGAGTTTTGGGAGACATTCAAACAGTAGCATGCAGCACCTGTCCAGCCCAGGTCCAGATCTTAGACATAACCTCCAAAGACAAGGGAACAGCAGTCAGAGGGGGAGGGAACATAACATTTGGGCAGACATACATAATACTGCTTTGGGACCAATGTGACAAAATGTGACACTGAGCTGGAGAATGGACAGTTTCTTATGAAACATCCTGTTTTACTTGTCTGCATGGGGGTTGGAAGGATAGTAACAGAACTTAACCTCCAGGATTTCTAGTGACGATTCAGTCAACTTAAATCACTTAGTGTGGGGTCAGAGGTTTATGCCTGTTTGTCAGTGTTACTTCTCTGACTTCAGAGCTTCTGGGGACATTCAGCCTTGTTTCTCCTCCTGTCAGTGAGTCCCTTCTGCCTACCTCCTCCTGGTCAGAGGGAGGTGAAAACTGTCCCTCAACACCTCCTGAGGCACATTCAGAATACTTTGCTATGGCATGGGTAGCTATTTATTTATTTGTTTGTTTATTTGTTTATTTATTTATTTATTTATTTTACTATAGATAGCTGTAGAGAATTCAAATGCCCTGAAACCAGCCAGGCCCATCCTTACTAGCACAAGCAGGTACAGTGGAAGCCACCACTACTGTGGTCTATGGGTCAAGTATTTAGATTGTCATGGAGATCAGATCACAGGTGGCCACATGGCTCTCAAGATTAGAACAAGGATGGATGAGGGTGGCCCTAATGTGTAGTGCATCTGCATAGTTTCCTTTAGGAAAGACTGAGCATGAGTGGGAGGAAATAGGATATTGAAGAAAGAAGAATAATGAATTTTTAGCAGTGAGATTTAAAATGCCTGTAACTACTGATGTGTTGAGAATGAGATGTGGTGCAGATGAGTAAATACAAAGAGATGTTGGGCCAGGGATTTAGCTCAGTGGTTTCGGCGCCTGCTGTGCAAGCGCAAGGACCCGAGTTCAATCCCCGGTACCAAAACAAAAAAAAACAAAACAAAGAGATGTTGATGGAGAGAGAACGGTGTGTTATGCTCAGGCAGTTTCTGCCCTTTCCCTGCACCATGGAGACTATTCCGCAAACACAGGTTATCTGTGTCCAGCAAGGGGTTTACAGTGTTCCCGGCTGACCGCATCCTGGAGTTGAAGGACAGGGCTCTCTGTGGTTGAGGAGGACTTAGAGCTTGTTTTATCTCTAATTATTGGCCATCTTTTCCCTGGAGTAATGGGGAACCAAGTACAAGGCTCCCATGTGGAAATGGAGCTGCCCTATTAGGCAGGAGACTCTGAGAGGAGAGGGACAAGACCTCCTTTTTGTTGTAGTTGGAGAATTTGGGAGTCCCAGTGTTGCTAGTAGCCTATAGAAAGGAAATTACTGCAGAGAGAATAAAGCCTCCACAAGAGACCGGATATGACATCATTATGCCCTACCTATGTCGTTCAGGGAAGGGAAGAAGGATAAGAAAAGAATGAAGAGGGAAAGGAATTGACTACCTGCTCTAGGCCAGACACCTTGCTGGGCTTTAAGAAAATGTATAAAACACTGAATAGTACTTGCCATATAGAAGTCCTTGGGTTAGCATGACTATTAACGTTCTTATTGACATTATAGCTTAATTCTCATAACATAATGTAGGCAGTTTTAAATTTCTATTTTATGGATGACAAAATTGAGGTTCAGCAAAAAGAAGTACTTGGTTTAGGTGAGATCAAAATGTAATGCAGTGGGGCCTGGCAAGGCTACCCTGGTCCTGGTAAAGGGTCAGTGTGGGATGGAGAGATGGGGTGAGCGTCGGGTAGGGGAAGCAGGTGATGGGCACTGGGGAGAACAACAGCCACTCTGAGGGAGATGAGCAGCTGAGGGTTGTGCCTGGGATGGGCCAGTAGACAAGGCCCCTGGGCATCTCTGAGCATATGGGTACCCTTAGAGGGTGAGGGTGGGGCTTGCCTCCCAGCAGTTCTGCCAGAGCAGCCATTAGAGCATGAGGGATGAGTATATTGGATATAAGAAATGGAACAGGATTGTCAAAAGCAAGGTCAGAAATTTGATAGAAGGAGAGGTCAGAGCTAGGTTCTGGAAATGTTTGGGAAGTTGTTTTGTTCCCAGGAGCTAATACTTTCATGGTTGAGTATTTCTGAGCTAGTGGGTGCTCAGACAGTGACTGTATGCATACTTATTTGTCATTGTTGTTGTCAGTATTATGATTGTGTTCTATACCTAGAGGCTGAAGGAATCTAGAACACATGAATCAAAATAAAAATTGATTCGGGCCCGGGATTTGGCTCAGTGGTTCCTCTGCCTGCCTCATAAGAGCAAAGACCCGAGTTCGACCCTCGGTACCAAAAAATAAATAAATAAACAAACAAACAAAAATTGATTAATCTTTCCAGGTCAGAGTTACAAGTGTCAAAATTCTCACCCTTGATCCACCTTAGATCCACCTTAGATCCATCCTTGATCCACAATAGAGGCATGTTATGATCACATGCCTCTATTGAAATTCCTCTTTGCAAGGAAAGTGGTGTGAGTTGTTTTTTCCAGCAGTGGAAATACAAATGATTCACTCTGGAAATGTTGGCTGTTTCACTAACTAATTTGTTTGCTGGTAAATGATTACCCGAGAACTGAGGTAGAGACTCAGAAATCAAACTGCAAAAATTAAGATCCCTGTGCATGCAGGCCATTATGCCAAGTGGTTAGAAATGTGGAGGTGCAAACTTTGTCCAGTAGAATTTATAACCTCTGGGAAAGACAAGAAGAAACAACATGAACACATATAACTCACACAGACGGGATTTGTGCTACTCACACTAACCATGGTATGATCAGAATAGGATCAGAGACACAAGGAAGATTTATTGAAGGGGTTGCTCCAGCAAATATTTTGGAAAAAGGACCCCAGGCAGAGAGAAAGGAGCCAGGTAACCTGCAGGTGTCGAAGGGCAGTAAGCCAACGTTGAACTGCCCTCATTGTCATTTTTCAGGCTGTTCTTATTCTACTGGCTAGTTCAGAGCAGCCATTAGAGCAAGAGGGATGAAGATCTTGGATTTATGAAATGGAACAGAACTGTCTAAAACAAGGTCAGAAATTTGATTGGAGGAGAGGTCAGAGCTAGGTTCTGGAAATGTTTGGGATATTGTTTTATTCTCAGGACCTAATACTTTCATGGTTGAATATTTCATTTGAATGTTTTCTTCACCCATGCCAACAGCAAGGTTCCCAGACAACTGTCTCAGTGGTCTCAGCACTTACTTCTCTGATGGAGGAGCATCATTCTTGAACTGCTATTGTGAGTAATGTGGAATCATGGGAGGATTATAATCATATCTGCATTTTAGAAAGATAACCCTATTAACAGGCTATATGGAAATATATTTAAAACTCTTTTACTATTATGGTTGGGTATTAACTTTGAAGTAGTGGGCAGTTTTTATTCTGTATTATTTTCTTAATCTTTTCATCCATCTCTCATCTTGTTCCTTTGAGCAAGGTTAGTCTTTGCTCCTTGCTTCGGAGAAGGGGAAGTCCACAGAGAACAGAGATACATTGACACATTTTCCCTGCTTTTGAGTTTCTAAAGCCTTGTTGCTGAAGGAAGGACTCTGACTTATACTGGAGATTTAGAAGAGAATCCATGATGCTCCACTTGGAGTTGCCTCTCCAGTCTCTGGAAGGAGGTGGGTCTGGGGAAAGTAAGAACTCTGTGGACAATTAGGTGATTCTTCAAAGTGGGATTGTATTTTCAGGTGAGTGCAATGGAACTTGGTGATAGAACCCACTGACTCTTGAGGGTTATGAGACTGGAGTTGGGATAGGACATCTCTTTCTTACTTGTCGGAGCCCCAGGAAGGTGGCAAACCCTTGAAGAAATGGGTTTGGGTTATATCTAGGCAGACGGGACTGTAGATTCAATTTAACAAAGTTCACCATGCCCCATTGTGGATTGAGAGCAACTAAATGGCTCCCGTGCTCCCCAGAGGGGAAGGGAAAAGTGGCTGGTTTTACTGGGCTTAGTGAGGGGAGTGAGGGACAGCTCAGCTGCTGTCCATACGGATGCATATCAAGGCAAGGAGCGAAGAGTCGTTTCACCAGATACCGATCCAATGGGGATAGATGACTGTGAACTAGAAGTGTGCGTTGAGGAATGCATGCATCCTGCCTCCCAAGTTTCCTGCACAAAGAAATAACCCTGAATTGATTGAGAAAAATTTTTACTCCTTTGGTAAGATGAAGGCTGAAGTAGAAATTAAGTGGAGTTACAGAAAAATTGAGGAAAACCGGTGTACATGTATCTGTAGACTTCAGAGTTATGCCTGCTCTTCCCTAGTGCTAAATGATAAAGATTTTCAGGCAGTTGATTTACCTTAGGTTCTAATACAGTGCAGAGGGTTTTGAATAGAGCTCTTGGATTTTTAATGTCACCACCCTTAGTTCTGTTACTGCCTTTTGGGCTTAGTATCACATTCCCTTATCTCCCAAAAGTGCTGAAAAACAACAATTAAAGTAACCCAAATTTATATGAAGAACATAGAGTTGGAAAGTTGTGGGTCATGGCCAGATCTGTGCATGGAAAGCCCCTGAATGGATGTCCATAGAAAGTTCTTAGGTCTTATAAGAACAGATAAAGGGAAGTTGTTTAATATGTAGAATTGGTACGAGAGAGAGAGAGAGAGAGAGAGAGAGAGAGAGAGAGAGAGATTGCTTGAATATTGTGTAATGAGTATCTTTGAGATACTAGACCTAGACCTATGTCTAGGGACATATGCCTGGAACATATGGCTTGCTAAGTAAAAGAATGATTGCTTGATAGAGTGACATAAATTATCTCTTGAGGCTGGCATTCCTCTTTGTTCTGGGTCGTGTGGGCAGCTGCCACAGCCACCACCCTGACTACATCCAGTTTAGGAAAGAGGGTACCCTGGAGGGCATCCGTGAGGCTGTGTTTATGGTCATTTCCTTTTTGATACTCCAGCAGGAGTAATGTGATATGTGTGAACAAATTAACCCTAATCTGCTTTTCTTTTTAGGGTGGTTTAATTAGTGGTGAAAACATACAAGTCAGTTCTAGTCTGTGTCAACAATTTAGGTTGCTGCATGTGCATACAAATGCATTAGAAGTAACTCTTGAGAGCTTGTTTGGAGGTTCTAGCAGGGGAGCACAGCTACTCCCTTGACCGAGGAACTGGTCCTTGAATGAGGAAATGGTACTCCTCTGCCTGTCGGGGGTGGTCGCCCTTGTGGACCAAGCGTGCAGCTTCAGGAGGGACGCACATGGAGCAGTGAGGGAGGACAGGGACACCTGCCTGGCCAGCCAGATCAGCCGAATTAACCCTGGCGATCAATGGGGTGACAGATGTTGCAGCCAGATCGCCCTCACATCCAAGTAACTGTTGATTTAATGGAACCAGAAGAGTTATTGTTTGGCTAGGAATCATCTTAAAGGATTAATTATTACCTAATGTGAATAAGGGATAAGAATTGGCAAGCCCAATAATGATGCCATCAGTATAGGACTGGGGGTCCTAGAGACCACTGATGTGATTGATGTCCCTCCCTTTCCCAAATCTAATTATAGGAACTCAGTCTTTGTTACTGCTGTTGTTGTTGTTGTTTCAGTACCAGGGTTCGAACTCAGGATGTTGAGCTAGGAAGGCAGGAGCAGCGCCACTGAGCTAAATCCCCAGGAACTCAGTCTTTGTGTTTACTCCAGAAAGCCTGCCTCAATATTTGAAGGCTGGGACAAGAGTACAAATAACAGTGCACATATTATATGTCTAAATATTTATAAGTATAAATCCAGCTAAGAAATTAACATAGAATTTGTTCTTTCCTCTTGCCTTGAGAAATATATCATCAGAGGGACCCAGAATAGCAAATTTGAATATAGAATTCTTGGAGCTTTTAGAACTTGGCCTGTTTCCCCTGCAGTGTTCCCCTTCTCTGCACACCACCTCACTATCCCACATGTTAAGGACACCCCAGTCTGCAGTCCCCATTCTGTATGAAAGCTGTCTACTAGTCATACCTTAGGCCTAGGAGTGAGCACAGCCATGGACAGTCCATCCTTAGGTCTCAGGTCCCGGCAAGAGGATTCAAATGGGCTCAGGTCCCTTTGGCAGGGAATTCTCAGTTCCTCAGTACCAAAGAGTGGTGTAGAATGTGGAATCTGGGCTTTGGGTGGACACCTTCTCTAGCCCCTGTGACTCACGACCCTTTGCGGAAAGGGTGCCCAAGAAGGGCTAAAGCAGTGGTGGCAAACACATGGCACACCTGCTGCAGCACGCATGCAGAGCCCTCTCTGTCACCACATGAGTCAAGTTGCCCAGCCAAGGTTTGACAAATTATCAGCATGCAGACAACAGCAAAGATCACATTAACTGAGCAAAAGCACACCAAATGTAAACTTGTACCTTTCAGTAAAAAGATGTTTGTATCACTGAGAGCTCTGTTATTGTGTTTTTCTTCTAAGACAGAAGATGTTAATGTATGAGTTGTTTTTCTAAACTAAAACCTCAGTATTCAGGTTTAATTGCAGTGTTGGCACTGTGTAGTAAATAAGTGGGTTTTGGGTTGCAGTTTGGGAACTTGGTCTCTAAAAGGTTTGTCATCACTGGGCTAGAGAAAGACCCTTTAAGAAACAAGGTCTACAATAACAACCCTTCTGTATTTTATTTGTTGTTGTTGTTGTTGTTGTTATTGTTGTTGTTTTGAGACAAGGTCTCACTTTGTAGCTCAGGCTGGCCTTGAACTCACTGTGTACTCCAGGCTGGCCTCGAACTCTCAGCGATCCTCCTGCCTCAGCCTACTGAGGGCTGGGACTACAAGCATATGCCACCACACCACACACCATGCCACAGCTAGCAACCCTTCTTTCCTAGATGTTTCCACTTGTTTTTGTTTAGGGTTTCAAATGATTACAGGAAGAAGAGAGAAAAAGAAATGTCTTCTGAACCATACAGTTGTCTTAAGATTAATTTTATCTGGTATCTAACAAGGCCCTTGCACTTGATGAAATTTGGTCTGAGTTGAAACTTGCTTTTATTGCAACAGCTCCACTTGGTGGCAAGTTTGTCAGGCTGGGGACAGATAGCCCCTAATTGTGTCCAACCACAGGAGGCTACTGATGCTTCCTGTGGTAAGATCATAATCTACTGATACGGAACAAATCGTAGCCTCAAAGTCCCATTTACATCTTCTCACCTCCATGCTGGGCCTGGCATGTGTTGCATGATGCGTTTGGTACAGCAAAAGCTTGTTGCTCCTTCCAGACTTGAAAATGAAGTTTTAGTGCAGTTGTTATAAATACAACAACTAGTTTGGTGAAGTCACACATGCCCATAATCCTAGCACTTTGGGAGGCTAAGGCAGGAGAATTGCAAGTTTAAGCCCATCCTGGGCAATTTAGTGAGACTCTGTGTCAAAATTTTAAAAATAAAAAGGGAATAGGGATGTAGCTCAGTGTAAAGACCATGGCTTCAATACCCTCTACCATCAAACAAAGAAACAACCAAGTGAACAAACACGAACCTAAGGTTCCTCTCTCAGCCCACCATAAAACCCTTCTCCAAGGACCCTCTTCCCACTGGTCTTTGAGCATCAGGGGCAGTGTGGGTGATAACCTCATCCAGCCCCAGCTGGTGGGCTGAGGAGCTAAGGTGAGGTGTATGTGAGCCCTGATAATGCAGAGGCTTTCAGAAAACTACAGAAAGTCAGAAAAACCAGCAGGTTCTCCACAGAGGGCAAGGAAAGAGAGTCTTCCTTTTCTAGAAGAGACAGCTGATTTCTAGACTCAGTTTTTGCTGATAACTTACCAGTGAGCTTGTACAAATCTCTTTCCTTTCTGGGCCTCAGCTTCCATATTTGTGAAATGGTGAGTTTGAATTAAATGATCTAAAACCCCTTTTAATGCCTAAATTCTTAGCTTACGGGATTCTCATGGGTTAAGTTGTCCTTTAAAAAAGTAACATGTAAAAAAAAGTAACATTCTCCTTTTCCTTTCAAGTACAAGTGAACTTCACTCTCTAGACTTTGACAGACAGCCTGTGTCCCAAGCTCATTTGCCCTGAGACAACAGGGACAAGAGTCCTTCCACCTGTCTCTAGGTGACTGGCCTGGGCTGGGCTGCTCAGCCAGGCAATGCTCCTGTAGGCTTCAGTGCAACGGAGCAATTTCCTTCCCCCCCCCCACTAGTTTAATTGAGTGTTCACTTTTGTGCCTGCATGTCAGTTGGTCCTCAGTGAGTCACATACAGATGTGCAGCTAGAATTTCAATCTGGAAGTCCTTTCCCC